ATTCGAAGCTTTTCAGAGAGATTGCCCCAGGAGAACATGCACTTGGTAGCATCAAAGGAATAGAGAATCCCATTCTCACAATGGTTGACCCAGCCATTATCTCCTACAAGCATCTCCAAAGTACTATCCCTTGTACCAGTTGATGCAACTCGACCCTTGAGAAACAGAAACAAATTCATGAATGAATATAAGCGTTCATAGGCTCAGTATAAACCAATTATTAGCTTAGAACTTTGGAGAGTGAATTTCACAAGTTGTACTACGCATCCTACCTAATCATGGTTTTGAAGTTTTCTAGCTCGCATAAGGAATCATTTACATAATATAAAGCACCAGCTTAATGATATAACTTATTTCTACTCACTTGACAGTATGATATATAGCCTTATGTTACTGTTATAAAAAGACCAGAAATGAATAGCTCATAACAAACATGGAGATACAGGTCCACAGCTAATAATAAAAACCAGGTAAATAAACAAAATATCAAATTTCCAATATAAACCATTGTCCAACTTATTGTCTTCATATTATCAATCACAGATGATTTATAGAAGTAAGAGGGAATTTTCTACTGTTGACATACATTTCAATATATATATATATATTTATTTATTTGAAATGTACAACTGCAATATATATATTTATTTATTCATTTGAAAAGTACAAGTGCAAGCAGATCTTTTCAACATGGAGTGTAATCATCAAATATGTCCCATATGGAGCCTTTAATAAGGCAATAACTTTGATAAAAAACATGCATATAGCTTACTTGACGAGCAAGACGAGAAGCCTTAAGTGACTTGGCAATGGTAGGCCAAAGCTTTTCACCAATGGAGTCCCATACTGGGTCCTTGAAGGATGTCACTGGAAGCACAACAATATCCCCAAGCCGTTCCCATCTGAAGAAGTCAAAGATGTTAATACAGTTGACAGGCACTGCATGTACGGATAAACTATAAATTTGCCAGCAAATCACTGCACAGCTTCTATCCAACTGAATTTGGGGTTGTAACACAGTTCATACAGCTTTGGGGCAGAAAGAAAGAAGAGAAATTTTGGAGCACAGACCTAGAGGGTAGCTGCTCTAAGAGTGAAGGTGACAGGCCTTTACACTGAATCAAAGAAGCAACTGCTTCAGTCATTGTTGTTAAGGGAGATTTGGAAGTTCTTCTGACTTCAACAACTTCATCTGCCTGCTTAGTGGACCCACATTCCTCAAGAAGATGCAATGCTGTTGAACAGGAGATTTCATTTAGCAGAACACCTTCGCCTGTAAATGGTTTAGATAACTGAAGATTAATCAAACCTTCAGATTCAGCTCCAAAAAAATGCTGCTTTTCATGGAACATAGAGCAGAATTTTTGTGTCACGGGGAAACATATATGTATTCCATCTTCCCGTGGATAAGCCTTCCTTACAAGGTCTAACCATCCAAACTTTTTCAATATGTCTTTCCCTAACTTGGCATATTTTCTATCAAGTTGCATAACCCAGTGTGAAGCAACCATCTGATGTCCACTGTTCACAGAATGTGATTCGGCCTCAGAATTTAAGTCAGAATTTGGAGTTGAAATCTGTAAATCCCCAGTTTTTGTACCTTGAACATCAATGTTCTTTTCTTCTGTTACCCCTTCACACTGGTGAATTACAAGCTTTTCTCCAATCTCTGCAGGTGTGTGATAATCATCAAAGGACACTATGGGGGCTGGGAGCAAGTTGATTTTAATTGGCTCACTAAACTTTGATCCAAAAGCATAGCAAGCGGCACCACCACCGATCATTATAAGATCATCACCAACCACATTGGCAGTAGACCGGACAAACAACTCTTTACTCATGGAATCGAGTTTCACATGTTTCCACATTTGGAGCTGCAGATCAAGTAATGCCAAATCTTGGTAATGTTGTCCGACTGGACAACCCCCAATCACTCCAAGATAATTTTTGTAGAGAAACATTGAGTGGGAGAACCTAGCATTTGGAGTTCTTCCTGCTACCTCTTCCCTCTTCCATAAACATGTATGGACATCAAAACTGTAAAAATCTCCAAGCGGTTTCTCTCCATTGAACCCTCCAAACATGTATAACTTAGATCCATATGCCACCATTGCATGAGAATGTCGGGCACAGGGCAATTCCCCACTGACCAATAATTCTTCCCATTGGAGATTATCTGAGTCGAGCACATGCAAAGATGAAAAGATTGTACCATTGTTAAGACCACCGAACACATATATCTTTGAGCCTACAACTGCTGCAGCATGCCGATGCCTATATAGGATACATATAATTTACATATATATCAAGAACTAAAAAGAGAAAAACTCGTGGGCTTTTAAGTAGAAATCACTGGATGTATTGAAATTAAGAAACCTACAATAGATATAAGAATGATGGACATTGGTACAAAGATTAGAAAGCTCAAGTCAGAAGAAATATGAATCTATATTCAAATTGATATTTGGTATATTGTTTGAACCTTCAGTGGTAGTGCTGATGAAAGAAAGGTAATCTCTTAAAATAATACATATTGCATACATCTTTATGCCAAAAAAAAAAAAAATAAATAATAGTGGCAAATGCACTCAAAATATTACCTAGGAGGAAAAACACAACCAGCACATTCTACCAATGTCCATGCATTATTGTTTATATTGAAAACCCATACATCACTCAGGATGTTCAAGGGATGATCCCGGCCTCCAATAACAAACATGCGATCTCCAACCAAAGAAGAAGTGTGACCCAAGCGTGGAGATGGAAAGCTCTCAGCATGAATTACTTTTAATGTTCCTTGTAATGGATCTAGCAGTAAAGTATCATTTCTGCGTCCATGTCTTCCCATACCCCCAAAACCACCAAATACAAGAATCTTGTAATCGCAATTGGTGGTTCCCAATGTGCAAGCTGAATGACCCCAAAGGTATGACTTCTCTATAGGGTCACCAGAAATCATTATCTGAGTAGCAGACAGACTGCAACTAGAATCTCCCGCTGGCCCTGCCAATGATTCAAAGACTCAAACTCGCTGTCACATTAAATAGAAACGTTTCCTGCAATCAGATGCATATTAGTATGTAATAGTACTACTAGAGGTTTCCACACACAGCCCAGAGCAGAAAATTGAACTTTGTAGAGAAAACCAAGCACCCATATCTCAAGTAAATATACATAAACCTTATCATATTTCCTGATTGACAAATACATGACAGCACAACAAAGATGTCCAGGCAGACAAATAAAAACTAGACTCGACTATTACAATCAAGCATAACCAAAACATCCTTTCTCCAAAGAAAGCAAGAAACATAATCATTGCTTAATGTTTCAAAGATTTGTTTCTTCAATAGCTTAACCGAAGCTCTTAACACATTCTTCATTAAATCATCTTCACTAAATACTAAACTGAACTCTTAACACACTGTCTTATCATCTAGCATTTATTATAACAAAAATAAACAACATAAAGCTATCAAATCAATGAACCATGAAACCAATTTAGCTCACAACCATCAATATCAAAATCACAAGTAATGCCCACATTACAAACGTAATTACCAAACTGGGAATCATCAGCCTTTACTTTCTCCTCATCCACATGATTCCCATTCTCATCGTTCGTGGAAACCGAGAGCCCCAACCCATTACAACCCATCAAAGCTTGTAAAAACCCTTCAGTCCTCCTCCTATTAGCCTCCATTTTCTCATTAGCCACACCCACGAGAAACCTCACGTACTCTCTTGACACCAAAATGGCACCATTCTCTCCAAATGGCACCTCCAGCCTTATCGAGCACCGTATCCCGACGATCACTCGCTTACTCACACTCGCTACCCCGGACTCTCTGAGCCCGCAAGACACCGCAATCGATACCAAGGACTGAGCTGACTCGACGTCCCTGCACTCAACAGCCACTATCAACGGTTCGAACCGGAACACCAGATCGTTCGGCGTGGGCAGGACGCAGCTGGGTAAGTGGCTCGGTGGGGAACGATAGAGGAGGGAGACGACGGACTCAGCGTCGGCTGGGTCGTGGGTGATGTAGAGCCAGGCGCCACCCTTGGGGCGGTTCTTGGGGTGGGAGAAGAGCGAGATGCGGCCGGAGCAGGAGCTGGTGGTGAAGTAATTGGGATGGGAGTTGAGGGCGTTGATGAGGGGGATGATGGGGGTGTCTAACGTTCCTTTCGGTGATTTGTCAGTGACGGAGGAGTTGAGTGATGCTAGCGTGGCTGCTTTCCGTTGGTCGAAGGACATGTTTTGATGTTCACTGAACAAACTGCGTTGGTTTATCTTGCGAACTTACGTTTTTGCAAAAATGGAAAAACCCTCGTTAAATCTCTGCTACCTTACGAGGCCGCTGGGTGAGGAAGAAGGATGGGGTTACTTTGAAACTTTTACAAAATACGAGGGGTTTGGGAATATTCATATTTTGATAGGGTTCTTTTTTATTATGATTATTCATCAGTAATGGGTTATTTTATTAAAAATCCCCCATAAATTATGGTTATTCCTTTTCAAATATAATAACTTGTCATCAATCCATTTCAAATATGTATCCCTTTTTTGCACAAAAGGGTTTTGAAAATCCGCGAGAAGCAAATCTAGATAGTAAATTCGCAAATAAAATGTGAATTATACCGCTCAACCATATAATTCATGTATTATTCATGAATTTCTATACTTTATTTGCTTAGTCATATTATTCGTGAACTATATGTCTTAAACGTTTTATTTACGAATTATTTCTGTATTTTTCTCGTATCCAAATTTTTGTCAAATTTTTACAAACGTATTTTTCATTATTTATCGTATCATACCCATAAATTATATTTAAAATGATATATTAATTTTAACTAGGTGGTCTATGAAAAGTGCTAAAACCAAGATTGATAGTGCTATGTTTTTTAAAACATATTATTAATAATGTGCCGTATTAAACTCATACATACCCATATTGTATTATTCCCGTATCTGAATTTTATAGCAGAATTTTTACAAATGTATTTTTCACCATTTACCATATCATACCCATACATTTTTTTTGTCGTACCCGTATTTATTAACTAGGGAAGCAATCTAGTAAAAATTATATGTATATCAATTTTTTTTTTTTGGTGAACGAGAGTATCCGGATCAATTTGCATGTACCTCAATTAATCTTCCTAAGACCGTGAAGTTAACAAAAATTGAATTCAGATTCTGAACTTACACATCAATATTGTTGCAAGTTTCTTGATCAACAACTTAGATCAAATCAAACCATAATCGTCAATTCCACAACATAATTCTTCTCCAAAGTTTCAAATTTCTCATAATTAGTGTCTTTGTCTTCCTTAAACTCATCATTTTATAGTTCAACTTCCGTATTACTTTATCATTTATACGCGAATGTCGTAGAAAAGGATAACTATGATTTGAAAGAAGATCAAATAATAGATAAGAGAAGCATAGTCTAAGTTCAAATTTAATCACTGTAACTAAATTTACGACAAATATATTAACTACCTCTGAGTAGCGGAGTGATTTGATAGGGACTCTTTGGTGTATTATTCAAAAGGTCTTGATTTCGAATCCCTACTCGGTTGCTAATAATGGGTAACCACTAGAACTCTTATCCGGTCGGTAGTTTTAGGGTTTCG